TATATATATATATATATATATATGAAACTTTTTAATTAAGCCAAGGTGATGAATCATGAATATTGTAATAGTAGTTGGAAAATGCAAATTTAATTGTTCAAAATTCATGCATTGGTGTCACCAAAGAATAAATGAGTTGGCATAATTAATTTTTGGTCCCATTTATTCTGTCCTCTGAAGGTACATAATTGTGGAAGCCAATAAGTTATAGCCAAATTTTATTTTATTTTATTTTTTTTACAAAGTCAATAATTAATAAGTTAATTTTATTAGTTGTTAACAATTAGAGATTCAATTCTCAAATTTGGTAAATATCTTATGACCTCTTTCAATGAGACGCACGACCTATCGAGTCGTTTGATGGAGTTCAAATTTGATGTTGTTGTCAAATGTCTAGTGCCATATTCACTCCCTTCAAATTTTAAAACGCAAAAAATATTTTATCTCATTCAAATTGTACTGGGCCCATTTACTCACCTTTATTTAGTATTCATTTGGTGTAACTAAAGTTTTTAATAGAAATTTTGTTAAAAATAAATTATTGTACACATATTATTTTTGTAAATAAAAAATAAAGATAAAATAAAAATAATATATTAATTTTATTAAAATTTAAATGAAAAGCTCATGCAAAAACACAAATTCAGTGCTTTCGAAATTTACAATAAAATGAAAAAAATATTAATTTTTGAGAAATTATAATATTTTTCATTAATTATAATGTTTGATGCAGTTTGTGCTTTTGAAGTCAAGAAATTTTTCTCACAAGTTGCACCAAATTGGCTTTTAATAGTCTTCATTTCATGGTATAGACCGTAGAATTATAAATTTTTTTAAAACTATAGCTTAATCAAGAAAGAAAAATTAAAAATATGGGACCCAAAATCGGTGATATTAATTTTTTACTAGTACTATTATTAGAAGGAATTTTTTAATCTATTTTTCAAGTACAAGTTAAACCTTATTAAATATAATATTTATAATTAATTTTATATAAATTTTTATATTAAAATTAATTAAAATAAAATATAAAATGTAAAATTAAATTAAAATATAATATTTGTATTCAAAATTTTTTAAAACATAAATTTAGTAGGAGAATTTATATAAAATTAATTTTAAATATCAAAATTAATAAAATTTTATAACATATGTTAGAGAAATCCTTACTAAAATTTTGCCAAGATGAATTTTTGCATAAAATTTCCCTGAAACTGTATACAATGTTAGCATATGATGATGCATTTAAATATTCAATTATTCCATCGCTAAGGATAAATACACTTATATTGTTGATGAAATGGAACTAGCTTTAACTACGTACAATATTGGTTTTATGATAAGAAAAAGATGGATTATTTGCCAAATTATTAATTAAGATATTAATTAAGTACTTTTGTGCAGCACAAGATTGTATCCATGATGAGATAAAGATGGATTATTGTTTGCCAAATTATTAATTAAGATATTAAGTATTAACTATTAAGTAATTTGGTGCTATAGAAGATTGTCCCTACTTTTGTTCCCCTTTAGGCGGACCTAAGTGTCAGCAGGTTGCATTATGCTGATAAGACACATGAGCAGGCAGAGTATTGCAAATGCAAACGGCCCTTAAATTACATTTTTCCAAGAGGTAATTTAATTCAAAAGATTAATTGGAAAGTATAGAAAAAGGGTTCCTCTATATATAGAGGACATTAATATAAATATGTTTTAATTTAATAT